AGTGGTAATCAGGGCATTTTTTTAGGTATTTCCTACAAAAAAAAAAAAATTGTTGCAAAAAAGCACGCTAATATACATAGATATAAAATGCTTATAAAATCTGTAAATTTGTATCTATTTTTATTACTTATGCCGAATTTCCACTAGGCATTTCAATGACAACAAAATGTATGCTATGCCATGCGGAAACAGACAAATGACTATTTTCATGAACATTAGGGCACGGATATTTTTTAATGCCCAAAATTGTCATTAAAAAGTTGTCATTTAATGGCTAGTGGAAATTCAGCATTAGGCTTATTGAAAAGTTTTGAAATAATACTTTCTTCCACATATGAAAAAATGTTGCCACCAGATGGCGCTTTGCAATTTGTATTAAACATATCGTCGCCTGAAAAACAGATTGTCCTAAGCGCCATTTTGACGATCTTTAGTTATAGATGCAGGTAAATTAAAGTAAGATATTTCGATTGGTGTGAACAGTTTTTGGATACCTACTTTAGTTTCCGAGATGCTATTATCTAAATTGTTGATAAATGTAGCATACGAACAAAAATTTTACTAAATGAAATCCTTCATAGACTTAAAGGTAATTAAAAGTAATTAAAACTAAACAATAAAATAATTTAAGCCTGAAAACTTCAACGGCCGTTAAAAAAAATAACTCGACGTGGCCCAAGAAAAATTAAGGCATCCTCGTCATGAAAGGCCAAATTACACCAGATACACTGTGCAAACCTCTTGGATTTTCTTTTGATGTCGTATTGAATGACAACTCTCTTTATTGATAGACACTACTTGGTACTCATATTTACATATGCATTTAATGACGACAAATAGCGACGGATAGCGGCTGATTATTTTGTTGGGCTAATTTTTACTTTTTTTTTTTTTAAAGCAATGAAACTCATCGATTAAACAGAATTGATAAATGTAGAATTGACTCTTATACGCTGGTACTGCATTATGATAGGCGCAGTGATGATGGCTATAGCCAGAAATGTTATCAATAGCATTTCATAATGGAGATAACACTTTGAACTTCACCCAGTGGCTTCGCTACAATGTTTAATTGCATTTCATAAAAGTGCACTTTATTTACATACATGAGTGATATTTTTATGCCTTTTTCGTAGGCGACTGCTGAGAATGCGGATAAGCGTACTTTATCTACTGATAGGCGTCTTATTTCTATAATTCAAATACCAAAGTCAAAATCGGGTTATATCTATAAACGTACACACATATCGGTAATATATTAGTAAGAAATCTATACAGTGAATTGCTAGATTGCGATTAGATTGGGCAATCGTTGTTATAACTTTATAAGATTGCACATTCTTATACATACATATGTGCATTAGGGTGGTCCAAAAATGTATGTGTAAAAGTAAAGTCGGAATTTTAATGCTCTCCCCTCCTAGAATTGTTCTTTATCGAAAAAACTTTACCTCCGTTTTTTCTTTTTTTTGAACTCACTCAAAGTTCCAAAAATTTCCATGTATTTTATACGGGACAAAACAAGTTTTCGTAGAAATGGCATCGAATTCTTAAAAATTTTATTTTTCAAACAACATCACATTTTTAGATGGTGTCCACCTTAACGTACGTATATGCATGCATACGTACATACATATGTGCGTATAGTTATAAACTTTCCGTACAAAGTTATTGGGCTTTAATGCGAAATAACTAACAACTACTAATCTAATTGCTAATTATTATATTTTCCATTTTATTGCCTAATCTTTGTTGTTGTAGTAAATTTTGTGCCAGCGTCAATTGACATCATGGCTAATAAATATCGATTTTTTTTTTTTGTACGTTGTTAAAGAGTTATAGTTATGTTCGTAGAGCAATAAAAAAAACACAAAACTACTTACACCTTCTGTGTTAGATTGATATCAATGCCGGCAACTAGATTAGAGCGAATCTATAAAAGCCACTGACCAAAAGAATGGCCAAATTAGTTGGCCGAAAATTTTCAAACGCGCTAAAAACGTGCGTCGACTAATGGGCAAGATGTTGCCCCGGAATATAAAAATTGGCTACCTTCTAATAGGTTTAGTGCTTTATTGTGCCAACAGTGAAATTGGTAGGATGTATGCCATTGCTTGGATTTAAAATAAATGATAAATTCATAATAAAAAAGTTGCAAGCAATGAAGTGCGCGCGGAAGTGCGATTAAGGATTAAAACTAAAAAAAAAAAAAAAATGAGTTTATGAAGTAAAAAAGTCAGAATATTTTTAAAAGCTTTGCTCTTTTTTTTTAAATTATACAGTGAGCACTAGTTTTGTAAAAAACAAAAAACTCAGAGAAGACTCTGGAATAATAATAAGCCCCTTGACGAAATTACGTTAGTTTCTCACTTATAAGGACTCGGTATAAAAAATCTGCCATATCTGGCAGATTTGCGTTTTTTAAGTGAAANAATCTATAAAAGCCACTGACCAAAAGAATGGCCAAATTAGTTGGCCGAAAATTTTCAAACGCGCTAAAAACGTGCGTCGACTAATGGGCAAGATGTTGCCCCGGAATAAAAAAATTGGCTACCTTCTAATAGGTTTAGTGCTTTATTGTGCCAACAGTGAAATTGGTAGGATGTATGCCATTACTTGGATTTAAAATAAATGATAAATTCATAATAAAAAAGTTGCATGCAATGAAGTGCGCGCGGAAGTGCGATTAAGGATTAAAACTTAAAAAAAAAAAAAATGAGTTTATGAAGTAAAATCAGAATATTTTTAAAAGCTTTGTAAAAAACAAAAAACTCAGAGAAGACTCTGGAATAATAATAAGCCCCTCAACGAAATTACGTTAGTTTCTCACTTATAAGGACTCGGTATAAAAAATCTGCCATATCTGGCAGATTTGCGTTTTTTAAGTGAAAGAACAAATTTTGAGTTGATTGTCGCAAGTTTAGTGAAAGAGTGACCGCATTATAGGAAATAAAAAACTCGAGAAGAATAGTTTTAAGGGCCGTTTTATAAAGCATATATTTTTTTAAATTTATCTACCCTGTAAACACAAATTTGGTAAAAAAAAAAAAAATGAAAGACAGCTTAATTTTAAAAGTTACTTGAGAAAACGGCATTTAACTTGTGTCTACTTGTACCAAAATAAAAATGAAAGAAGCAACAAATTTTTTTTGCGAAGGCAACAACAACAACAACAATTTTTGAGAACACACACACATACAGTGACTCAAACTAGCGTTCACATGGTGATTTTTTAACAATATTCACAATCTTTTTCAAGTTAAAATTTGTTTGTTAACTTTTTAGAAACAAGCAAAATAAAATAAAAATGGATTGGAAATAGTACCAAATCATACAGCATCCCGGATTTGGGGTTTGTACTGTTCGTTTTCCAATAAGAAAACATTTTCGTTCATTTTAGAAATCCAGGACGTGTTGAAGTTCGAAGGTCATTTAGAGGTGGAAAATGGCAATTCTAAGGAAAAAATTTCAAACAAAAGTAAAAACAATACATACATGTCTAAATAAAAAAATTGGACTTCCGGTCAGTTAAGCCAGCTTGATTTTTAATAATATTGTTTTGTTGATGGTCTATGTATGAATTCGGATTACAAAGCTCGAAATTTTGGTGAAAATTTGTTGAGTTTTTCTCAGGGCTTCGGAGTAAGGGTGTTTTTTTTCGTCGCTCCGCTCTGGTATTTTATTTCGCTTCGACCTCCGATCTTAGCTCCGCTCCGGCTCCCAATAAAACACTTTTTATTTATTATGCATAACATTTAACATACAACATAACATATTAAATCGTAAAAGTTATTCCACACAGTCCAATAAGTAATGCCGAACTCGTTTCTATGGAAAAATGCGACCTTGTTTTTGCCCTATACGCACAAACACTAAGAGGGCGATGAGAAGGCAAAATTTTTTGTAGAAACGAAGACGCCATAAGTAATTTTAGGCAAGGCCAAGGCTTTCGGGTCTGCTTATTGATAGTTTTTTGATAATCTGTGTAAAATTATCAGCTTTTACTGTTAGTGTACACAAATATCCAGCAATGTAGGGGAAATTGAGAGCGCAAAATGGCATTTTATTTTGTTGAGAAGCTTCGAGTTTCTGCTGGAAAAGTTATTGCTAGCAGCAATTCTCCAGCCAGCAAATAGCTGATTGTAACCAACGTACTGCACAAAATAGAAATTTGGTGTTGGAGGCCAAAATAAAATAGGGAAAAACGATGCTTGTCCATTTCTTACTAAAGGATATAATGAATGGTTTATAACTCGCCCGAGTCACAAAAAACGAGAATTCATGGAAAGAAAGGGGAGGAACTTGCAATTAGGCTTTCGATATTTAACTTAACTACGAACAGCTGTTGTGAAATTTGCATATTTTTGCTAGTTTAGCGTTCGCGTACATTTGCAAACATTTCTGCCCTCGAGAGAGCGCACATATAAATTCACTTGAACTTTGCTGTTGAGAGTTTTCTGCTGAAAGAATGTGCGAATACGCAAAATATTAACAGCCTAATTGTTATGCAACCGATATAAAAATTCTGCTGATAAGCCAAGTAAAAAATTTACGATAGAACAGTTAGTTAAGTTGAATTGCGCCATAAATTTTAATAGCGCCAATAAATATTTGTCGAAGGTTTGGCAACATAAATTTTACTGTATGCAGAACAAAAAAAAAAAATGCGGAAAAATTACATGTATGCCTTTACGCGACCTGGTAAATTCAAATAAAAGTGATCGCATATTGATTATGTAAACCAGTAAAAAAAATAGTATTTATTTACCGATGATGCAGTTTTCACAATTAACAACACGTATCGCGTATTTTTTAACCGACCGGCTGAACTCGGATAAATAAAAAAAAAGTTTTGTTGTTTTACATGTATTTCGTCATTTAAGCGAGTGTTTTTTTGTAACTCGGTTCCACCTATTAAAAGTTTTTGTAAGACTATAAATGATAGCAAGGGAAGCAACAGGTGACATGGCGTATGAGTGATTTTAGTGAAATACATAAATCTCTGATCACAACGAAATTTTGGAAAAAACACTTCATAACTGAAATGGTTCTGAAGTAGTTCGAAAATTAAATTTTTGTATTTTACATAATTTTTTGGTAAAAACTTCAATTATATTTGTTCGTTTAGAATAATTTTGAAATCTGCTTTGATTTTATTTTTTTTTAAAGATGGATCAGTCGATTAAGAATTTGTCCAAAATTTTGCGTAATTTGATTACCCGATCTTGTGATCGAAAAAATGAAAGTGATTTTCAACTTAAATGTTTACAAATTTAAATGTTTTACCAATCGTGTGATTGCTAAAAACTTTTTGTCTCAGTTTTAAAGCTATATATTAGCCTATGTATTATACTAAGTATGCCATTAAGAAATGAAAAAAGTTTTGTGATTATAAATCATTAAAAACAGTCTTTCCATGCACAATTATCACNGCAACAGGTGACATGGCGTATGAGTGATTTTAGTGAAATACATAAATCTCTGATCACAACGAAATTTTGGAAAAAACACTTCATAACTGAAATGGTTCTGAAGTAGTTAGAAAATTAAATTTTTGTATTTTACATAATTTTTTGGTAAAAACTTCAATTATATTTGTTCGTTTAGAATAATTTTGAAATCTGCTTTTATTTTATTTTTTTTTTTAAAGATGGATTCAGTCGATTAAGAATTTGTCCAAAATTTTGCGTAATTTGATTACCCGATCTTGTGATCGAAAAAATGAAAGTGATTTTCAACTTAAATGTTTACAAATTTAAATGTTTTACCAATCGTGTGATTGCTAAAAACTTTTTGTCTCAGTTTTAAAGCTATATATTAGCCTATGTATTATACTAAGTATGCCATTAAGAAACGAAAAAAGTTTTGTGATTATAAATTATTAAAAACAGTTTTTCCATGCACAATTATCACAACTAACTGTCCTTCAACTCACCACAATTATTCGAAAGACAAAAGTATTTCGTAAGACAATTGTCAATTCTGGCAACTATCTTGAAAACATTTTACTGTACTTCTAAAGAGTAGTTGAAAGGCCTACTAACGAGAAGGTCCTAGCGTTATGATGTCGACTTTTAGCAATAAGTTTTTTAAAAATTAAATTAAGTACAAAAGACATATACTTTTTTTTTTTTAAGAAGAAAAAGTAATAAATGAAAGAAATTCGAATTAAAAATAAAGCTAAACTAAATAATAATTATTTTCAAAAATTTAATCTAACAATTAAACCAGAAAAATAAAATGTTAAAACAAAAAAGAAGAAAATAGTACTTAAAAATTAAATAAAAGGAAAACAATATTTTCAGTTTTAAAACAAAATTTAAAAATTAGAAGAAAATGTAAGTTAAAAAATAAATAAATAAAAAGGTCCTAAAAATTAAATGAAATAAAAAACAAGTAAAAATGTCTAAGTTTGGGCGGAGCCGAACATTAGATACCAGGCGCAAGATTCAAATATATGTTTTTCACCTTTCCGAAAGCTACCGCTACATGGTAAGCCGGGGTGTATCAAACTTGAGGCAATTAGTGTCCTTAAATTTCGAAATATTGAAGTTTCAAGCATTTCCGTTATATGAGAAGTGACCGTAGTTTTAGTCGGATTTCAATAATTTTCAACGATTTGTGCTAAGCANTTTCCGAAAGCTACCGCTACATGGTAAGCCGGGGTGTATCAAATTTGAGTCAATTAGTGTCCTTAAATTTCGAATTATTGAAGTTTCAAGCATTTGCGTTATATGAGAAGTGACCGTAGTTTTAGTCGGATTTCAATAATTTTCAACGATTTGTGCTAAGCTCAATAATAATACAATAATAGTTTGGTAAATATTGCTAGAACGGTTACCGAGATACATACATATATGTGATAATAAGTGGGCGGTGCCATTTTCCAAAATTTTATCATAAACTTATTTATTTTGTGCTGAAGAATTATTGCAAACATCAATTTTAGATAAATTAGTTTCGATATTTATTGATTTATAGAATATTTCGTATATCTCTAAATTACCGTTATATGGGATCTGGGCTTGGTTATTGTCCGATTTTAAAAATTTTCAGTCGTTTTATATGTTGTACCAGGGCAAACAACTGTGCGAAGTTTGGGAGAAATTGGTGGTGCGGCAACCAAGATATACACATGTAATCATAAGTAGGCGTGGCTACGCCCATTTGCCAAAAATATATGATACTCCTATTTTACGTCTAAAAATCATTGTAAATATCACGTTGGAGTGAATAAGCGCCAGTAGTTACTAAAATATTGCAGTTTTCGTATTTCGGAAAACAACCGTAATATGGTAAGTGGACGTGATTACGGTCCAATTTCAATACCAACCTACCTTGGGTAAAGGGCAATCTACGTACCAAATTTCTTTGAGATATCTCAATTTGATCGAGTCATCGTGTGCACGGACATACGGACGTACGGACGGACTGTCAGACATGGCTTAATCGACGTTTCTTTTCATTCTGATCTATATCTATCTCGATTCGTTTTGGCTGTTAAAAACAACCGTTATGTGAACTAAGTTATAATACCCTTGTGCACAAGTGCGCTTGGGTATAAAAATATATAGTAATAATTTCCAAAAGTTAAATGAAATAAGAAAAATATAATTTTTTTTTTCAAACAAAAAAATCCAAAAATCAAATTAAAAGAAACATTTTTTTAAAAAAGAAAAAAACACGAAAATCTTTCTTCATTTTAAAACAATATAAAAATTAAACGAAAATTAAATTGAAAAAATTGCAATAAAAAAAAAATTAAAATATATCCGCTACACTTAATCTTAATCGCACTTCTTAGCCTTGAAATGATGGAAATTGGCGGCTTCATGACTAAGTACTCGCACACCACTTTTAAGTTTCTACGATATATTACTTTTCTATCAACGCCACATTTACTAAAAGAAAAAAATATAAAAAATTTCAGTTACTGCCTCTGCCACCGAGTGCTATCAATGTGCTGGTGAAGACTGTGATGACCCAGCGGTAGTCCAGTGTCCTGATATCAATGAAAATGAGCAGTGCTACATACGCCTCGACTCAAACTATGATTTCATTGGCATGGGCTGCAGCTCAGAGTTAGGCAATGCAACGCAAATTGCCGAGTTGATTCGAAACAAGAGCATTTATGTATGTTCGACGTCGAATTGTAATGGATATGAGAATTTGGCACAACCAAATGATTGCACTAAATGCAATTCAACGGAGGATGCCAGGTGTGCTACACGACCGCGCTTAGCGGGTCGTTCGGTGCGTTGCAACAACGTGCCGTACACGAATTGCTATGAGCGTGTTAGTCTTGCCAATAATGGGACGACCGAACGTGGCTGCCTCTTCGAATTGGAAGGCGATGATTTTTATAATTGCGTGACCGGGGAGGATGCGCTCTGCAATCTATGCGAGGATAGTGGCTGCAATGTAGAGGTGAGTAGAAAGTTTTTCTTCTGCAAACCCGTACCTATTATGAACATTTTTTATATGTATATTTGATTATTTTGATGTGAAACTTTTTTATTTTCGGCTATTTTGCCTAAAAATATGCCCAATTTTTATATTACCAAAAAATTATATCCAGTTTTTTCTTTCAATTAAAAATGTATGCCCAGTTTTTTACCGCAAACATTCTTTTTAATAAAAAAAATTAATAAATAATTATAGCCAGTTTTGTGATTCTAAAAAAATTTTGCCCGCTTTTTAGATTCTTAACGCTTACGATCAGTTTTTAAAATAAATAACCATAAATCTGTACTCAGTCCTTAACTAACCAAATAAAATAGTTTACCAAAAAATACGCCCAGGAAAAATTTCTGGCCTGTTTTTTGTTTGCCCAAAAATAATTCCAGTTTTTTTTTTTTAGTACCAAAAACTCCGTTCAGTGTTTGTATGAGTACAAATTTATGTTAAGTTTTAAAAAACTGAAAACGCATCATAAGTCTTCAAATTAAACAAACATTTATATCCAATTTTTAGATTACCTTAAGTTGGCGGCTAGGCCTTAAATTGCCAAAAACCTATATACAATTTTTATATTACCATAAACTATAACCTTAAGCATAAATTTGTCGGTCTTTCACTAACAAAAAGTATTTGACAAAAAAAAAAATACGCGCAGTTTATATAACCAAAAAATATGTCCAGTTTTTGTATTACCATGAAATTATGTCAAAGTTTGAAATGCCAAGTCTCTGTCCAGTTTTTCGATTTCCCAATAATATGTCCAGTTTTAATAGTACCAAATAAAATGTTCAGTTTTTATATAACTACAAATTTATGTACAGAATTTTAAACCAACATTTTAGTTTTCAAATTATAGAGTATGCATTTCCAGCTTTAAGTGGATCATAAAATTATGTTCACTTTTGAAATTACTAAAAATTATGTTCAGTTTTTAGACCAGTAAAAATTTACGGCAGGGTTTAAAATTGCCAAAAATATATCCAATTTTTATATTACCAAAAATATATGTACAGTTTTTTTTAATAATACTTTATATCCAGTTTTTAAATTATAAATTTATTATGATGGAATCACTTAATAATTGGGTTTTAGATGAAAAAAGGGCCTTATGAATAGAAAAAAACGATTTTTCGTAAAATTTCAGACCTTTTACTCGATTTATACTAAAAAATTTAAATAAAGTACTGAGACTTTAAGAAAAACAAATGCTTAGTTTTTATTTATAAGGCCTATTATTGCACAGCAGTAATTTCTCTTTTATCTAAAACTACAGTTATGATTAGTTTTGGTTAACGTGTTAGGAACTCAACGCGAGGTAAGCTGTGTTACCGAAGAACAAAAAATGCATATATCCTCATTTGTAGATAAACATTTTTAGATAAACATCTTTAGATAAACATTTGTAGACAAACATTTTTAGATAAACATTTTTTGATAAACATTTGTAGATAAACACTTGTAGATAAACATTTGTAGATAAACATTTGTAGACAAACATTTTTAGATAAACATTTTTTGGTAAAAATTTGTAGACAAACATTTTTAGATAAACATTTTTTGATAAACATTTGTAGATAAACACTTGTAGATAAACATTTGTAGATAAACATTTAAAAATAAACACTTGTAGATAAACATTTGTAGATAAAGTTCGTTAGCCAACATGTTTCACATCAAAGTCGCGTTACATTTTTCGACAAACAACTTGCATTTACATTTCATTTCATTGCCATTTTCGAATTTCCTTTCTTCACTCATATCCTCAGATCATTCCCGCCAATCGTACTCAATGTCAACGTTGCGATTCTCTAACAGACAGTAATTGCAGCAGAGCACCATCAGCGCTCTCCATATGTCCCATCTATGTTGCAAACGATGCTTGTGTGTCGGTCTATGAATCGGGTGTAACGCGTCGCGGCTGCTCTAGTGAGTTCAGTTGCGATGCCACCGCTAGAAATTGCCAAGTGTGCAGCGGCACCGGCTGCAATCAGGCGAATGTGCAAAGAAGATCAGAAGAATTGTATGGCATATTTCAAGATTTGCCATTGAACTGTAATACTTGTTCGGGAGAGGATTGCTTGGTGTTCAGTCAACGTTTGCGCAAATGCGAAGGTGACATTTATCAGGATTGTGTGACAGTATTCAACGAAAGCAGTGTAGTTGTGGCACGTGGCTGTGAAACAGCTGTCGCCGCTGATTACGAATCACATTGCGCTGCAAATCCAGAGCTATGCTTCAATTGCAAATCGAATGGTTGCAACAATATCACCGAAGTGAAAGCAACACAACAGTGCCTGTACTGTGATGAAGCCACCAATGCTGACTGTTTGGCGAATGTCAGCGCGATTACAACTACACGCGCATGCGTCGAAGGTTGTGTGACAGCATTGTATGAACGCAAATCCAATCCACAAGTGTTCGATTTGGCGCGCACCTGTTTCGAGGATCTGGAATTTGATGATCGTGCAACATGTAATGAGGCAAACAATTGTGTTAGATGCACCGAAGGCGATAGGTGTAATACGGCGGCAGTGCCTGCCGACGGACGTTTGTCGTGCCTGCATTGCGATGGCAATGATTGTGATGAGCCTGTGTCGCTCACATGCAGCGGTTATTCGGCGAGTGATCAGTGTTACATATATTTTGATTCAGAAACACACAGCGCTGTACGTATGGGCTGCAGGAGCAGTGTATCAGCGGATGCAATTTACAACGATATCATTCACTATTTCCTCTGCGATGGCGACGATTGTAACACGTATAGTAATTTACCAGACGCGAACATATGTTATGTGTGCGATTCATCGGTGGATGTGAATTGTGCCATCAACCCTACGGCGATCACAGCGCAAACGAGATGTCAAATCAATCCACACACAGACTGTTTCACGCGCATCAATGAAGGTAAGGAATACTACAATATTTACTTACTACATAGTTATTACNGCCATCAACCCTACGGCGATCACAGCGCAAACGAGATGTCAAATCAATCCACACACAGACTGTTTCACGCGCATCAATGAAGGTAAGGAATACTACAATATTTACTTATTACATATTACATAGTACTTAAAATTTAAATTTGTTTAAAATTTTGCTTGGCATCTATGTATGTATGTACATTAGACAGCATCACTCCCCATATACAAAAAAAAAAATAAATAAAAATCGGTAATGTTTTTCCATTGGAGTTATAAAATCTATTATATTTTAAGACGTCCACCAAAATATTTCGGAACAATAAAAAGATTTAAGAGAGCTGGACCGATTTTNTTGGAGTTATGAAATCTATTATATTTTAAGACGTCCACCAAAATATTTCGGAACAATAAAAAGAATTAAGAGAGCTGGACCGATTTTGAAATACCTCCAAAAATGGAGTTTTTTTATGAATAAAAATAGTTTCTTAAAGATGTTTTTTGAAAAAATCTATTCAAATGACAAAACGGGATAAGCTTAAAAAATTTTAATAAAAGTATTAAAAAAAAAATTTGAACGGAATCGTAATAATGAGATGAGATAATGAATTAAGATGTGTTTGTTTTTGAAAAAAAAAAAAAAAACATTAAATAAATTGCGACACTAATGACTTTTTTTGCCCATAAATAAAAATAGTGGAAAAATGCCTTTATATCGAGATCCCATAAGTCTGAATCAGAATAGTTTTAGCCCAATTATTTAAGTTTTTCGTGAATCTTTGAAAAAGGTAAAAAACGCATCAAAAATCAGATTATTACGATTCCGTTGAAAAGATTTTTAAATATTTGTATGCAGATTTTTTAAATTTAATCTATTTTGTCATCTGAGGGGACTTTTTTTAAAAAGTTCTTTAATGGTGATTTCGTTTCTACCAAAAAATGTTGCCCTTGCACGGTGCAAAATGCGCTTGATGTTCACTCAACCCTTTGAAAATGCATATTTTTGTCTTCTTGTTCTAGTCCAGCTCACTATTTCTACATATTATCGTTTCAAGCAACCATCTGACTTTCAGGGCACCCTTCTCCCCTGACAAAGCTTCAAAGGGCAGAAAAGGTGCATTTTTTGCCTTACAAGAGAGTGACATTTTAAGAAACGAATACAAAATTTGTTCACCCTTTGTCCTTAATTTCGAATCGAACATGAAAAGAGAAAGGCCCAATCAAAAGGCGACATTTTTTGATAGAAACGAAATCACCATAAGAAACTATTTTTATTCATAAAAAACTGCATTTTTGTAGGTATTTTCAAATCGGTTCAACCCGCTTAAATCTTAATACTTTTCCGAAATATTTTGGTGGACGTCATAAAATATAACAAGTCTTGTAATGCCTGCGGAAAACCGCAACTTTTTTTTGGTGATGCAGTCTAATGTACATATATTAGGGTGTACCAGAATCTAAGGAGATATTTTTTTCTGAGAAATTCAACAGATACCAAATCAACAATTTTTAGAATTTTTGTCTGTCTATCTGTCTGAAAGACTTTGCGCAAAATTCTGAATTTGGGGCATCGTGGTCGTTCAATTGGAATGAAACGTTTCATGTATAAAGTTTTATTGAAGTCGAATGATGCTAATTCGTGCCGACTTGAAGTTGGAGTTTGGGTTCAGAACTTGTAGTGATAATAAGCACACGGTGCGACAAAATTTATTTTCACAAAAACAATCAGTCTATCAACCGCACACCTACTGGAGCTGGATCGTATTAAATTTAAATTTAATTGGTATACAGTCTAGCAGAAGATGTTCGGATAATAAGAGCTGCTTAATATTTTCGAACGCCTGTTGTTGTTTCTTTTTTCACAACTAATGAGAGTTCTTATCAAGTAGGCGATGTAATGGCTCGGCGACTGTAGCTTTGTTCGGTAAAAAGTTATGGTAAAAGTTGAGTAGCGCTGGAGCATTTTGTATGGCCTTGACTTTACTTTGCGTTGGTCGAGTTGCCAATGAGTCCAGATGGAATCCCAGGAACTCGATGATCCAAACGAACACTTATCCTTTTTTAGTCGAAGTCCAGTGGTGTTGAAACGGCTAAATACCTCTTGCAACCGAACAGCGAGCTCAGCCTCCGTTTTTCCCATTACTACGATATCGTCATGACACGGCAGCACCCCTAGTATATTTCTTAAAAGTGTTTCCAAACAATTTTGAAATATCCCTGGCGCTGAAGAGATTCCAAGTTGATGCCTGGTAACTCTGAAGGCGCCTTTGTGAGGGAGGATTGTCTGCAACAAGGATGATTGTTCGTCGACTTGCAATTGCTGATATGCTTGCGCGAGTTCTATTTTGGAAAAAAATGCTACCTCCCTCTGTAAACCAAAATAAAGTGTTGATATCTGGCTGGTATCTGGAAGTTGTGTAGCTTTAGTGCTTTGTTAAGCGTCGCCTCATAATCGCCACAAATGCGTATTGTCCCGTCGCTCAATCGTTGTGGCCCAGTCTGTGTTCTCAACTGGATCCAGACTACCTTGCGAACATAGGCGCCCCAATTCAGCTTCCACAAGATCTTTGGTGGCTAATGGAATACGCCGAGATGGATATCGAATAGGTTGAACTGACTTTTTGACGTAGAGGTGACTTCCCTTTGAAACACCCCCAGCTCCTCTGCGAAAAGATGATTTAATTGTTTTAAGATACCTTTGTTTGACGATACTTCTTCAAATGCGTGCCGCTGTATGATACATCTGTATGTAATAGCCACACCCATTATTCCACTGAAAAAAGACAACTTCAAGGTCACAGGTGTGCATGATTCGCATCCGTACTGGCCACACACGTTGTTGGTGAAACAGTAGAGGATATGCGTATCGAATCCATTTTAGTTGCCGGTTCGACAAGAGACCACTGCCCTAAAATCCTGACTGTTAGTGTAATAATTGTTGTGAGTAAAGGGCGGTGCGGAACTAAGACTTATATATTTATAGTGTGTCCATTAATTTAATATCAGTTATGAGTTGATTTCCCAAGTATCTTTTTTATTTGAACATCATTAAAGACACTATACCGAAAAATCTGCATCGCTTATGTGAACTAATCCCGGTATCGTTAGTGATATAGGGTGATTCAATAAGGCCACAGATTTTCTTTCATCTATGGTATTGATGTATGAAACATAATATCCATTAAATGCCCACCACGATTCCTCTGGCAACACAGGGTGCCATGGCTTTTCGCATGGGCGTCGCCAGGATCGAATTTACGAAAACGCCCTATTTCAGAAAACTTTTCAAGAACGTCCTATCTCAGAATATGACTACTATTTTTTTATTACGAAGATATGTAGGACAGGCGTATAAAAAATTAATAAATGTGAAGTAAATACACATCGTCGCCCTTATGCCAGAAAAACAATTCAAACTTGATTTCACAAAATTTTAATTTTTACACATTCACGTTTCTAGCTTGCGGGTAACGATACGTACTTGCCGATTCTCTTTACAACATTTTTTTAAGAAGCAGACGTCTCGGTTGCACAGCAAGTCGGTTAATCGTTTCTGCAATTATTTAACATTGATTCTCTAAAACAAAATTTCGATGTATGGTTAAGATGCAAAAACCTAAAGGTAAATTTTATAAGAAATTAAACTGACAATTTATTAAGACTAGTAGATACCCCTGAAACTCGGGTGTGTTCAGTAAAGAAAAGTATCTAGTTGAAGATTTACATATTTAAAGGACTTCGTGAAAGACAACAATTAATCTTGTTCTGCTAGAGACCCCTGCCCAACCAAAAGGTAATGACCCCCATGGTTGTTTGGCATTGTTCGGGCTGTATTTCATTTATAATGCGTATGATCCCGTTATTGACATCTCAAATCATCTCGGGCTTATTGGCATAGACCATACTTCAACATAAATTGCACTCTGAGGCCATCGATACGTTGAAGAATATATCTTTAGTTCCCGATTTCTACTGGATAACCCCACTACATATGTATTTCTTCCACCTAAGTTTGGTGTCAAATAATAATAACTAGAGGGCCAGTTACTGTCAAAATTTGACAGTTTTTCTAGTTTTTAGGAGCCTTGGAGAGGGTTTCTAACTTAACACGTACCAAAACTTATACGGTACAAATTAACCTACCGGAACATCTTCTGCGTTGGAACTAAAACGAAACTAAAATTTTTTTTATCTTAGAAGGTCTTTGGACTTCAGCAGGACTTAGAATTGACCCGCTACCTTTCATGTTATCGGTAAATATTAATGATTTGATACATATCGATAGTTCGATGAATTTCAAAAACACTAAAATCCGGTAACTCAACAAAATTCGTTAACTCGACCAATTTCAATAACTGTCAAATTCGATGGCTCGATAAATTTCGATAACTCAAAAATGTAAAAACTTTGGATGCCTTTATAAACTTTTACTTTTGACATCTCCACATTTTTCGAAAACTATCTAAACATTTTGATAACTCGTTACACTTTGTTAAGGCGATTAAATTCGATAAGAAGTGATATGTCGATAAGCTTATATAACCTTGAAATTTCGATAAATCGATATATTTTGAAAATTCCATAAACTTCGATTCGTTGAACCAACCAATTTCAGTAGATCAATAATTATCGATAACTCTGTAAGTTGAAAGAACTCCATGCATTACGACACCTCGATAAATTTCGTTAAGTCTATAAATAATGATAATTCAATAAATATCGATAACTTGATACATTTCTTTAACTTGACAAATTTCGTTAATCCCACACGTTTTTATAGCTCGATAGCTATCCGTAAATTTGGACAACTAAGTTTCTGTGTCTATAAATTTCGACAACTCAGTAAACATTGATCAGTTGGAATAATTCGATACGTTGCGATAATAAACTTCGATGATTCGATAAATTTCAGTAACCTTTATGGCTGATTTTATTTCGATTCCTATCGGAAAATTTCAACTCTGTTAACCTAATTCTTATGTATTTCTCATTGTCTCAATTTTCGCCTTTATCTCAATTTTCGTCTTTATCTTCACTTTTGCCTTTTTTTGTCTTCATCGTTATCACTTGTTTCTTCATCTTCATATTTATCTTTATTTCAAAGTTTAATTTCAAATACGAAGTAAAACAAAATGCGAAACAGCTTAAATTGAACAGGTTGCAAAAACAACCATACACAAATATGGAAATTTTTAAACGACGATTTTCAACCAATTTCGAAACTATAAAAACTCTCCTCATCTACAGAAAATTACCTTTCCAACGGTGTTTTTGGTTTTGAAATCGGTAACTTTACCTTGGTCTTCATCTTTGCTTTTATCTTTCACATCTTTGCTTATATCCTTTTCTTTTTCTATTCACGTAGATGAGATGAGGTGCGATGACGTGATAAGATGTGACGTGATTTTATGTGATGTGATAGGATGTCATGTCATGTGTTGTCATATCATCTGATGTCATGTCATATGATGTCATATCATGTGATGCCACGTCATGTAATGCCATGTCATGTCATACGATGTCATATCATGTGATGTCAAGTCATGTGATGTTATGCCATATAATGTGATGTCATATCATATAATGTCATGTCACGTGATATCGTGTGATGTGATATCATATTATGTGATGTAATATCATGTGATGTCTCTTCATATCATGTGATAAAATGTGATGTGATGTCATGTAATGTGATCACATTCCATGTTCCGATTAGTGTATCGATAACCCTGTTGATAACTGTGTCGATAAAAATACCGATAACAATATCCATAAACATATAGAAAAATACAACGATTGTAAAATCGATTAATTCATCGATAAATATAACAATCATCAGTATCGATTATTGTACATATCGTTAACAATATAAATGACTAAATCGATAACAAAATCAATTATTTAATCGATTATTATACCGATAACAATATCCATTATTGTATCGATAACAATATCGATTATTATATTGATTATTATATCGATTACAATAGCGGTTATTTAATCAATAACAGTATCGATAACAATATCGATTATTTTATCGATAGCAATATCGATTATTATATCGATAAAAATATCGAGTTTTATATCGATAACAATATCGATCTTCATCCTCATTCTTTTCTTCATATTTATCTTTATTTTTTGCATACTCCTCTCACCTTTACCTTAAAGTGTCTAAATATGCTTTGATCTTCGTTTTTGCCTGTACTTCTAGGCATCTTTGTTTTTGTTTTTATTCTCAAACCGCTAAACCGCTGAGAACCATTTCCATGTGCATTATTCCCCTTGAATTTGACAATTTACTCCCAACCAACCAACTGCCGCTAAAGAAGTTTCACTTCATAAATTCAAGAAATGTTCTTACCCTTTCAGTTACCCTAATTCTTATGTATCTGTCATTGTCTCCATTTTCGTCTTTATCTTCACTTTTGCCTTCTTTTTTTTTGCCTTCATCGTTATCATTTATTTCTTCATCTTCATATTTATCTTTATTTCAAAGCTTAATTTCAAATGTGTAGTGAAACAACAGGCGAAACATGTCAAATTGAACATGTTGCAGCAACATGTATACACAATTCGAAAATGTTTAAACGACGGTTTTGGCCGTAATTTTCAACCAATTGTGAAACCATAAAAACTCTACGGAAAAATGCCTTTCCAACGGTGTTCTTGGTTTTGAAATCGGTTCGTTAGAATCGCCAAACGAACGGAGACAAAATTTATGTTAGCTTATTAATATATAGATAATAGAGGATAATGTGGGAATCCCTTAGTTACTTTTGATTTCTTGCTAAACATAATCAATTCCACCACAGACTCGCTCTACTCCTCTTCCGTTTAGTTCTAGTAGAAGGCCATTCAGTGCCACCAACCAGAGTAGCGGTAATATAACTCCTTCTTGAGAGTGCCCCCAATTGCCGGCCTGCTTGAAACTCTGATGCAACCCGAAGTAGGCTAGCGCCGAAATACGCCACCATCTACCGACATAAAGTATTTCGCAATGCTAGCACGTTGAGGCTATTACCGCCGTATACTTTGAAGTAGTGTTTATAGTTGCTTAGATGAAAGAGAGCTTGCATTTAGAGAATTCACACATAAAAGTAGCCTTTGCCAACGTCTATCCAGAAGCCATAATCAAATGTCACCTTCTATTAGATCATAACTTATGCTAACAAAAGTATCCCTAGGAATACACTACTTATATGTAGCCTCCTTTCTCTTAAGATACATACAGTAAATCACAAACTCTTTACCGAACAAAAAAAAAAATCTCCGAATTTATTCTTGATAAAGGAGGATTACTGCGATAGCTTAGAGGAACAGTCGAGGGATAATTGCCAGCGAAAAATCGGACGTACATGTTGCATACTCAGAAACCAAATGGCGAATGAACGCCATCTCGCGTGGAAATGCTTAAAGCTCTAATAACCGCGCTTTTTCAAGGTTGTATGGGAACAGGAGCCCCCAGAGTATTCTATATTTACTCTGGACTGTTCTCGGGTACGGTCCCTCGGGGAATATTCGTGGTGGCAGGTAGAACCAGCTTTGGTTGGTTCGATGTGGAGTTGCACTCCAACCGGGTTGCCGGAGTACGGTATAGCCTTTAGAATAAAAAAATATATATTCCGCAGGCTAAGCAACCCTTTGGAAGTAAAGGGATGTTTAGGGACAAATTTATTTTTTAAGACATACATACATACATACATAAGTACTATAATTGAAAATCTGGTCGAAATTTCGCTTAAGATAAAGTAAGACTTTTATCTTCAAGTCAGTTTAGCAGACTTGCGAATAAACACATTACAATTGATCAGTTTGGCCTTTGGTAGTTAGAATATCTTGCTTATCTATGTTCACGCTTTTACAGTCACTTTATATACCAATACAATTTTATTATTTCATTCATGCAACTAATCCCTTTTCGTAGATGGTCACACCAATCGCGGTTGCGTCAGCACGCTGAATAATACGCAGTTCCTCTCCTGCAACGAAGGCACCCCGGGGGAATTCTGCCGCATCTGCTCCGCCAGCAACTGCAACAGCAACGTCTTTCCCAGTAGTCGTCAACGCTGTCACCGCTGTAACTCTACCGATGATCCTACTTGCGCAAGTGAACCTCAGGCCCAATCGGTATGCCCCATATTTGATGAAGACGATTACTGCGTAAGCAAGCTCGTCGACGGCGTTGTTTCTCGCGGTTGTGCCACTGAAATTCAATGTGACGCAAACTCCAATTCAAGGACATGTCGCACATGCGAGGATAATAATTGCAATGACTATGAGTTTGTGGACGTCACGATTGGTAATCCTGGCTACTTCCAAGATCTGCCACTCAACTGTTACCACTGCAACGGTACTGAGGAATGCAGTGAGAGTTTGGGCAAGATCAGAAAATGCGAGAATAATAATCTACAAACCTGCACAACAGTGTTTAACAGCACAAGTGGCTTGGTGATTGCGCGTGGCTGCAGTGATGCGCAGGAAGAAGCATGCGCTGATGATAGCAACAGCTGTTACGGTTGCAAATCGAACGGCTGTAATTTGGCTACGTCAGAAGCGGACTACATCGATTGTATTTTCTGTGATGCGCAAGAGGAGGAGACATGTCTGACAAATGTCAACGGTATTAGACGAACTCGTAAATGCTATACGAGCTGCATAACAGCTTTGTACAATCGTACGGATGACGCGTCACCGGTGCGCGAACTCATACGCACTTGCCTAGACGACATGGACTTGGACGATCGGGAGATATGTGCCGCTGGCAATGATGCAAGTTGTAAGGCGTGTAGCAGCGAATCGTGCAACACGGATGATGTGGGTACGCGCATCTCATGTTATCAGTGTGTGGACGATGAATGCCAGGATCCACAGCCAAAAACTTGTCGTGCGGTCAGCGAGAACGATCGCTGTTTCGTGCAGTACGATGAGACGGGTTCGATTGTGGAATTGGGATGCCAGAGCAAGTATGATCCGGCTGAAGTGAAGCAGCTGATAGTGATGCAACGTTTGTGGGTCTGCGATGGAGAAAATTGTAACACTATCGATGCTTCACCCAGCTCGCAGGTATGCGCTATTTGTAGTTCGGCAACGGATTCAGCCTGCGCAATTGTGCCGAGCGAGGTTACGTCGGCTACGACATGTGCAAAGTTGCCCTACACGCAATGCTATTCACGTCTGTTGGACAGTAAGTAGTAGAAGGTTAATAAAATTGGGGAAAGAAATTAGTTTTTTCTATTTTTCTCATTAGGTGGTCACACGGAACGCGGTTGTTTGTCCAGCATAGAGGGAGAGGACTTCTATGAATGTCTTTTGGGCACAAATTCGACAAAATGTTTGGCCTGCGTTGGCGCAAATTGCAACAAAGAGGTAGGTCGAGTTTTCAAAGTTACACCCTGGACTATAAAGTTTTCGTAAGAGCTCAGCTTAAAACTTGTTTTCCCTTTTCCACAGATATATCCCGCTAATCGTCTGTCTTGCCATCAATGCAACTCCACCGCCACAGCCACCTGCGATAATACCCCAGCAGCTTCTGGTATTTGCTTGAAGTACAGCTCTTCTGAGCAGTGTGTAGCTACTTTGGACGAAAACGAAAATACCATACGCGGTTGTAGTTCGCAAGTTTCTTGCGCTTCGGGCACTTGCCAGACCTGCCAGGACAGCGATTGCAACACAAGCAATCTCAAGCGAAAAAATGACGGTAAGCCTGGCATCTGGCAACCGTTGCCACTAAGTTGCAAAGTCTGTGACAGCCAAAGTGACTGCGCTGGCAACGCACGCAACCTCACATGTTCCGAAACGAGTGACTATTGTATGACGGTGTTCGGTGAGCAGGGCGATGTCGTGAAGCGTGGCTGCAGCACCGATGTGGACGCCGAGTTGGGCGCATACTGTGATGCAAATTCTACTCAATGTCATAACTGCAACTCGAATGACTGTAACACAGCCGTCTCACTCGCGGACTATATCGATTGTATCTACTGTGATTCCGAAACCAATGCTAACTGTGTATCCAATACAGAAGCTGTCGCCACACGTCGTCAGTGCAATCAGCACTGTATGACGGCGCTACGTCCCAGAAGCGAAAATTCGGATGTCTATGAGTTGACGAGAAGTTGTCTGGATGACAAGGATGCTGAAGATCAGGTCGTATGCCAAGCTGGTAGTGATATATGTGTGGCATGTCAGGGCGCGGCGTGCAATACAGCGAAATTGCCGGTATCAACGCCTCGACGCTCGTGCTACATTTGTGAGGGCGAAGATTGCATAATACCCGATACAGCTGAATGTCGCGCATTCAAGGCAGACGATCAGTGCTTTGTATTGTTCGATAGTGAAAGTGATGTCAAGCGTATGGGTTGTCTGAGCGAATTAGATGATGCATACGTGCAGGCGAATATAAAATTGTTTTTGTTGTGCAGTGAAGGAGACAATTGCAATGGATTTGAAAACTTCCCCACGCCCACATCATGCGTCCAATGCGATTCGGAAGATGATGAGACTTGTGCCAACGATCCGTCGAGCGCACCGACAGTGACAAGATGTGCCGCACTGCCGCATGTCGAATGCTACACGCGCTTGCTATCAGGTATAGAGCGTTGGAGAACGAAGACTACAACTAAGTATGGAACATCAATTTAAAGTGAAACTCTTCTTTGCTCCGTCTTTCTAGATGGCACCACTCGACGTGGCTGCGCAAATACACTCAGCCAGACTGTGCTGGTTAATTGTCTAAGTGGAAACTCGACCAGCTGTCAAACGTGCACGAGCGATTTGTGCAATAGCGAGGTATGAAGATTATTTAAAAACACAGCCAAGGAAACGAATTCGTTTCGGCCTGGCGATAGGATTATTAGACAAGTCTGGAAGCGTTGAAACCGGATAACTAGCTCGTTTCACATCATCGGCTCAGTTGGTTGACCTAACCATGATTGCCCAAGGCACAAGTGGAAAGTCTTTTAACAGGAAATTTTTGGCCAAAATCTGATTGAGTAGGGTTTATTTTTTTATGAAGACTTCAGGAATTTTTTGAGGTTTGTCGACAACTTGACGCCATGGCGTGAAAAAGACCCCATATTCGGTGTCAACGAGTCCGAAAATAGATAAACACTTGTAAGTAGCATCTGGATATAATTAATCGCTTGATAATTCAAAAGCTGGACATAAAAAATTGGCAATTTAAAAACTGGCAATAAACCATTGGCCATAAACATTTGATCATTTAAAATTCGATATAAATTTTTGGTTGTTTAACAACTGGAAATTGGCCATTTAAAACTGGATATACATTTTGGATAATTCAATAACCGGGCATACATATTTTTAGCAATGCAAAAAATTTAACATAAATTGTGGGCCATTTAAAAACTGACCATGTACCTGTGTTCGTTTGAAAACTGACCATAAACTGTAAAAACTGACCATAAACCTTTGGTCACTAAAAAAGTAGTAACTTTTTAGGTTACCAAAAAGCTGGACATATTTTGTGGCCACTAAGGTTTATTACTAGACCTTTGGTAATTTAAAATTGTATATAAATTTTTGGGCATTTAAAAGCTGGACATAAATTTTTGGTAATTCAAAAAACTGGACATATGTAAGTGTATAATCACTTTAAAATTAGGTATACATTTAAGGATATGAAATAACCTTTTGGTTATTTAAAACCTGCCTATAAACCATTGATCATTAAAAATGGGTATCCAATTTTTAAATTTCAAAAACAGGACATAGTTTTTGACAATGTAAAAACTAGTTATTAATTTTCTGTCATTCAAAAACTGGCCTTAATTTATTCTTTTCTATAAAGCAGGACGTAATTTTTTTGTAATTTAAAAACTGGCCATAAACTTTTGGTCATTAATATTGGATACAAATTTTTGATAACTCAAAAACTGGACAAATATATGAAATATCTGAAATCAATATGAGCAATCTCGCATTGTATATACTATGACTTATAATGTTTATTACTCTAAGGGCCAAATTCACAGTGCGTAGTTAACCACTGATAAGAGTTTAGCTATTCATTTTCATATTCACAACGCTCAGTTAACAAAAGTTTAAACCAGCATGCCCCCATAGTCAAACTCTTGTGAAAAAATTTTTTTTTGTGGAACGAATTTCAAATTTGAATAGAAAAGTATTGATTTTAAGAATTTGTATATTTTCAGGCGATACGAATTTTCATAGTTAACTATGTGACTCTGAATATAAATTCATAATTAAACTCTTGTTGGTGGTTAAGTTAACAATGGTTCAACTAATCACTGTGAATTCGGCCCTAAGGCTTTCTTTAGACAAACACCAAAATTTTAGGAGTAATTTTCAATTACGGTACTTTCACTTTTAATTTAAAAGAAGATTTGCGGCGTCATAAGCATAACACATTAATAAAAACAACTTTCTTTAAAAACTTGCATATTCGTTTCCAGATTTTCCCTGCCGGTCGTCGCAGTTGTCATCGCTGCAACTCCAAGGATGATGCTACCTGTGAAAGCTCTCCCGCGGCCGCTTCGGTATGCCCAATCTACAATGCTGACGAATTTTGTGCCGTCAAGTTGGTCAATGGTTACATTTATCGTGGCTGCAGCTCAGAATTCCAATGTGACGTCACAGATACACAAAACTGTCGCCATTGCGCCAACGAGGACAACTGCAATACCGCCGACTTGCTCAGTGCGAATATTGGCTACCCAGGCAAATGGCAGGATCTACCTTTGAATTGCTATACTTGTGACTCAGATGAATGTAGCAGCAATTCACTCGGTTTACTGCGAAAGTGCGAAAATAATAATCTACAGAATTGTGAGACCGTTTTTGGCGCTAATGGTACCGTGGTGAGACGCGGTTGCAGCGACGTTGTTGCATCAACACATGAAGATTACTGCACAAATAATTCGAACAATTGCGTGGGTTGCAAATCGAATGGCTGCAATAACGCCACCAGCTTGGATCAATTTATCGACTGTTACTATTGTGATTCAGTTGATAGTAGTGAATGTGCCTTGAACTTTGTTGGCGAGGGCAGTAGGAAACGCAAATGTCAAACGAATTGTGTGGTTGCATTGTATCCACGCAGTAGCGCTGACGATCCAGCATACGAATTAACGCGCACTTGTTTGGATGACCTGGAGTTGGACGATCGTGAAGATTGCCTGGCCGGTAATAATGAATTGTGTGTAGCATGTACAGGCGCACTTTGCAATACGGCTACCGTGCCAGAGAATCGTCACAAATGCTACAAATGTGCGGATGACGAATGTGCTGACTACGCAGTAGCCGAATGCAGCGCTTATCGTCCAAATGATCAGTGTTACATCATCTTCGACGATGAGAACTCCGTGCTGGGCATGGGCTGCCGTAGTGAATACGAGCAGGTGGTCGTCACGGAACTGGTTAAGCAGAAAGTTATGTGGTTGTGTGATGGTGAGGCATGCAATGGACCAGAGACAATACCGACTGCAAAGACTTGTACAGCCTGCGACTCGCAGACGGATGCACGTTGCGCCACTAACCCAAATCTGGTGACGAGTACAGAACGCTGTACGGCGCTGCCGTATACCGATTGCTACACCCGCGTCGATGAAGGTAAGTGTTTAAGCTTAGCAAGATTGTAAATGCAGAGCATGCTAATCGCCCTCTTTTTTCACCCAAAGATGGTCACACTTCACGCGGTTGCCTTTCGAACCTAACCAGAGATGCGTTCTATTCCTGCTTAACTGGCAACGACACGCTTTGTGAAACCTGCAGCGGGGAGAAATGCAATGCGCTCGATGTTTTCCCATCGGATCGTTGGCAATGCCACCAATGCAGCTCTGACACGGACTCACTATGCAGCAGCGCACCGAATAGCAACAAAGTGTGTCCGATCTACAGCGCAAACGATAGTTGCGTGACCAATTGGCATAACGGCATCACGACACGTGGCTGTGCTTCGAGCTTGAAGTGTGACGACGAAAGCGACAGGAGAACCTGTCGCGTTTGCAACACCACTGGATGTAACACTATTGACATGGAGAAGAATCAAGAGCAGGGCACCCCAGGCAGGTGGCAGGATGTTCCGCTTACATGTCGCACATGTCAAGGAGTAGAGGATTGTACGAGCCTTGGCATCTACCGTGTGTGCACTGGCAATTTGTACCAAAGTTGTGCGACTGTCTTCCATACAAACGGCAGCGTCATTGCACGTGGCTGCAGTGATGCGGTCGAAGAAACGAATAGCGAAATTTGCGACGCCAATCCAGAGCAGTGTTTGCACTGCAACTCGAATGGTTGTAACAATGCCACAAGCTTAGCCGACTACATAGATTGCCTCTATTGTGACACGGAGTCCAATGAAGATTGTGTCACCAACGTCGCCGCGTTGAATAAGACACGTAAATGCAATAAATACTGCATGACGGCGGTGTATCCCAAATTTGACGAAACCAACCCCGCCTATGCACTTTCACGTTCCTGCTTAGACGACATGGATCTGGATGAACGCGAAGCTTGTGCTATCGGAGGGCTGGCAAATTGCCAAGCTTGTGATGAAGAAAAATGCAACACCCATGCGGTGCCAACGACGCGACTCAGCTGTAATGTATGTAAAGACGATGATTGCCAGGATCCACAACCGAGCACGTGTGTGAATTATCGCGAAGGCGACCGCTGTTACATACAATTTGACGAGCAGCGTAGCATTGTCGGCATGGGTTGTCGCAGTGAGTACAGCAATGCTGACGCTGATTACCTGTTGCAGAAGAAACGTTTGTTCCTCTGCGAGGGCGATAACTGCAACACCTTCGACGCGATACCGGCTTCGCAGGCCTGTACGATTTGTAGCTCACGCACAGATCTCGAATGCGCTACGAATCCCGAGGGCGTTACAGCCGCTACCACTTGCGCGATTACACCCTACACGCACTGCTACTCGCGCGTATTAACAAGTGGCGTGACCGAACGTGGTTGCCTCTCGAGCTTGGAAGATGAGGAATTCGTTAGCTGTTTGAATGGCACCGCGGCGCATTGTGAGGCCTGCCAGGGCAGCTATTGCAACCGTAAGTTGTACCCCGATGATCGAATTTCATGTCACGTTTGTGACTCTTCACTGGATTCGGCGTGTACAAGCCAGCCGAACAGTGTGAGCGTTTGCCCGCTCTATGCCGATAATGATACTTGTGTGACAGCTTACCGCGATGGTGTGACTTATCGCGGCTGTAGCTCAAGCCTACAGTGTGAGTCCTCGAACTCAAAATCGTGTGTACAGTGTGTGGGCAGCGCTTGTAATACCATCAACTTGGAACGTGCGAATGATGATAATTACGGTAAGTGGCAGGATTTGCCACTCACATGCCTCTCGTGCAGCGGTGATGAATGCAGCTCTGCCAACGTCACGCAGTCGCAGTGTGAGAACAACAACGAACAGGATTGTGTTACAGTATTTGAAGATGGCGCGGTTGTAAGACGTGGTTGCAGCGATGTTGTTGAGCTAGAACACGCCACACACTGCAGTACCAATGCGGACGATTGTCTGTATTGCAAATCAAACGCCTGCAATAACGCCACGGCAAAAACGCAATACAACGAATGTATTTACTGCGACTCGCACAAGAACCTCTCCTGCTTGTGGGATGCGCAAAGCTCGATACACAACACGCGCCTCTGTCAAGGCAGTTGTATGACAGCCTTGTATCCTTCGGATGTAAGTGAAGATTCTGCCTATGAGCTAATACGCACCTGCCTAGATGACAAGGAGGCAGCCGAACGTTTGACGTGTGCCGGCGGTAGCGATGCACTTTGTAAGAGCTGTACGGGCAGCAAATGTAACACCGACATAATACCAACGGATCGACGCAGCTGTTATCAATGTGAGGGTGATGATTGTGAAGAGCCACAAGTGCAAGTGTGTCCATTGTACAAGAGTGACGACCAGTGCTTCATTTGGTTTGACGAAACGAACAGCGTCAGTCAAATGGGTTGTCTCAGTTCGTTCCGCAACCAAGAATTGGAAACCATTATCAGTACAAAGCGCATTTATTTGTGTGATGGAGAGGCGTGCAATTCGCTAGACGCAGCACCCACACCGCAGACGTGTGCTGTGTGCAACTCGACCGAGGACTTTAGGTGCGCCACCAATCCGCAAGAGATTGGCGCATTCAATACGTGCTCGCAGTATCCATACACCAGCTGCTATACAAAATTGGTCAGCACAGGTAAGTGAATGAAGTGCGACAAAATGTTGAGAAAGAAGCTTATGATAAGCTGCCTTGAATCTCTAAACGCTAAACATCTTGGCACTCTTAAGCCAATCAGGTTAAGAATTACGATCGTGGATTTATATGTCCGCTTAACCACGAGCTTCGTCTAAAGTTACTTAAAGTATTTAATCCTCATCAAAATGATACAATTTCTTGTTGTTCTTAAAACATGATTTTATTTGGCGCCGATTTGATTTCATTGTTAAAGCTAAATCCATTTTCAATAAGCTATATCATTTGAGCCAGAAACATAAGGTAATCGGTGGGCCTAAAATCGGAAATTGTGGTTAATGAGGTAGCTCTATTCATAATATTTCCTCATACAAACTAACGCATGGGGCAGGGCGGAGCGCCTAGGAGCTATTTCGATGGCGCAGTAATCCGTGCGAAAAGGATAAAATCAAAGTCCTATAGAAATCCAGAGTTTCCAGTCCTTATGCTGGTCAACCATTCGCTTTACCTTAGTATAATAGCTGCTCGTGTTGTGAATTTTGCCTGCAACATCTACGGGCACTATATTCAGCATTACGTTAAGTGCCAATATGGGTGTAGTCTGTAGTGCCCCACTAATACCCGTTTTACGCGCTCCAACTGCTTAGCTAATCAGTTCCTCCAGACTAGGGCTCCGTTAAACATAATTGGCATGACTATGGTTTCGTAGACCCAAAAGACTGCTATGGGCGAACAACCGCCTCCAACAGAGGGAAGAACCGCATCAGGGAATTTATACTTTTTACTCATCCAAGGAAGTGGTCCACGATAACGTTTGTAATCAATGCTGACTCCGTCTATCCAATAGATCTCTAATAATCAAGTTGTCCTTACAGCTTAAAATCTTTTAGGTCTGCGATGCCAAAATAGTCTTTGTCGAAGAAAAGCTCGAACTATCCTCTCACTAACTACCACTTCAACTACACTACCACAAAATTTAACATTCTTGTTTTGACTAAACCGCAAGATTAATAAAATTTACTTTCATATTCCTACAGATGGTTCCACTACACGCGGCTGTTTATCGGACCTAGATACCACAGACTTTGTCGGCTGTGTGCTGGGTACTGATACCAATTGCAGCATCTGCATTGGAGAGGGTTGTAATCGTGAGGTAAGTAGAGCCCACTGCGACTCTTGAAGTATGCATCAATAACATTCCTTTTCCGCAGGTATTTCATACAAAAAAAAAAACGAACTGTTTTTCCATCGGAAATATAAAATTTATAATATTTTAAGACTTCCGAAAAAATATTTGGGAAAAATAATGGGCTTTACGTGAGCTGGATCTATTTGAAAATACCTATAAAAATCAAACTTTTTTATAAATTAAATTTGGTTTTAAAAATATTGTTTCCAAATAATCACCTCAGATGATAGTAAAGGTTAAACTTAAAAAATAAGCAAAATATGTTTCAAAATTTATCGACGGAATCAAAATAGTGAGATTTTTGGAGATGTTTTCAAGTCAGTCTAGCTCATATTAGTCTATATATTTTTCTGAAATATTTTGGCACAAGTCTTAAAAAAAAATATTGTAATTCCGGTTGAAAGCTGCAACCTTTTCGGGATCACCACAATGTATATCGTATGTCTAAAATCAATATGAGCAGTCTCGCATTGTATAGACTATGACTTATAATATTTAGTTCTCTAAGGCTTTCTTTAGACAAACAGTTAGAAACTACTCAAATTTTCAATTCAAAAGAAGATTTGCGGCGTGATAAGCATACCTTCTTCTTCTTCTTATTTGGCGCTGTAACCGCCTAAGCGATTTTGGCTGAGTTCAGCAAAGCACGCCAGTCGTTTCTCTTCTGTGACCAGCGGGTTCCGAGTTGAATACTTTCAGAGCTGGAGCGTCGGTGTCCATTCGAGCGACATCACCAAGCCAACGGAGCCGCTATATTTTAATTCGCTGCATTATGTCCATGTCATTGTAAAGCTGATACAGCTCATCGTTCTATCGTCTGCGGTACTCGCCGTCGACAACGCGTAAAGGCCCGTAAATGTTCCGCAAAATCTTTCGCTCGAATACTCCAAGATCCACTTCATCGGATGTTGTCATTGTCCATGCTTCTGCGCCATATACCAGCATGGGCATGATGAGTGACTTATCGAGTGTGGTTTTCGTACGTCGAGAGAAGACTTTACTCCTGAATTGCCTACTCAGTCCAAAGTAGCACTTGTTGGCAAGAGTGGTTCTGCGTTGGATTTCGATGTTGACATTATCGAAGAGGTCTTTCCCAATTCTGACATAGCTGGTGGTATTGCTCGAAGTCATTTTACACAGACGTATGAGTTTTGAGGGGATGCTAAATTCAGACATAGCGGCGTATAGGCAGCTCCTTTTAGTGCAGTCGAAAGCGGCTTTAGAGTCGACAAATAGGTGGTGAGTGTCGATCCTTTTCTCGCGAGTCTTTTCCAAGATTTGGTGTATTGTGAATACCTGGTCTATGGTGGATTTTCCAGGTCTAAAGCCACACCGATAAGGCTTAATCAGTTCATTGATGGTGGGCTTCAGTCTTTCACACAATACGCTCGATAAGACATTGTAACCTATGCTCCTCGCCGCCGTGCTTGAATAGCTCAGCTAGCAGGCTATCAGCTCGAGCAGCTCTGTTGTTTTTCAGCCGAGTTATTGCTATTCGTGCTAACGTCGACCCGACTGCGGGATCGGGATCTCCTTCTTCACAACTTTCCGTGCTGCTGCCATTCATTAGGGCGGAAAAGTGTTTCCTCTATAAATTAAGTACGCTCTGAACATCGGTTACTAGGTCGCCTTTGTTTTTCTTACAGGATTATGCCCTGGTCTTGACACCTTCCGTAAGTCGCCTAACTCTCTGGTAAAATTTTCGGGCATACTTCCTGTCGGCCAGCATTTCAAGCTCTTCACACTCCGTATTTCGGTTTCTCTCTTCTTATTGCGGCCCACATAGCGCGCATTGTGGCCGATCGCAGCGTGGCCCTGTACTCGGAATATGTCTTCTCTACAGCTTCCTGACACTCCTCATCGCACCAGTTGTTCGTTCGGGCTCGCTGAAATCCGACTACTTCTTCGGCGGCGGTACTTAATGAGCGGGATATGTGGTTTCAATGCTCGCATATGTCGGTTCGTTGAAGAGTGCTCTCTGAGAGCAGGTGTGACAGTCGAGTAGCGAAAGCACTGGCTGTCTGTTGTGATTGCAGCTTTTCGACGTTAAGCTTTCCTTGCATATTTGGGCGCACATTTTTTGCTGCACAGAGGCGGGTGCGTATCTTGGCTGCAACAAGGTAGTGGTCCGAGTCGACGTTTGGGCCTAGGAGTGTGCGTACGTCTAAAACACTGGAAGCGTGCCTTCCGTCTATCATAACATGATCGATTTGGTTTCTCGTTTTTCGATTCGAAGACAGCCACGTGGCTTGATGGATCTTTTTATGTTTGAACCTAGTACTACATACTACCATGTTTCGGGCCCAGGGGAAGTCGATCAGCCACAAACGTTGTCGAACGTTTCGTCGTGGAGGCTGAATTTTTCGGCGGTGGTTCCAAAGATCCCTTCCTTGCCCACACTGGCATTGAAGTCGCCAAGCAAGATTTTGTTACAATGCCGGGGGCAGAGGTCGGGCGTGCGCTCCAAGCGCTCATAGAAGAGATTCTTGGATACCTCATCTTTCTCTTCACTTTCGAATCTCGCTTTGATGCGGATTGTGGCTAGATGCTCGTCCACCGGGGTGAACAACAGTACTCGGCGACCCACCACAAATCGAACTCCGAATTTGCGCTCCTTTGCACGGCAGCTGAAGTAGACGCCGCAAGGCCCTAGACATTGCTTGTCTTGCCCCATCCAATGCATTTCTTGGATGGCGGAGATGTGCATGCCCTGAAATCGTAGTCCTTCAAACGTTTGCCGTGGTCGTCATCATAACGGGGGTCTTATCCGAGGCTTTACCTTGCTTCTTCACTGGAAGTGGTTTTTACGTGGTGGGTCCCAAACCCCGCGCAAAACCCATTGCACCCGTTACACGTTTATATAGCGAGCCGCTTGCTCCAAGCAGACACCCGCTTGCAGCCGCAGCTACTGGTGGATAGACGTTGCAGACTTCAGTGAGCCCTTAAACCGAATAAGTCGGAGTGGCCCCACCGAAGCTCCCTTTCCCTCTTTCTTCCGTGACCCAAGGCTCCACTCGGATTAGTTACCCCATCTTGCACATGGGTTACTCACGTTGCCCAGAGTTCGCGGAAGAGGACTCAAGAGTCGATATTGAGTATAGCCATGCAACTGTAACTGCATACCCAGCGCAACGACTATACCCCATTACACTCCAAAGCATAACACATTAATATAATAAAATAAACTTTCTTTAAAAAACTTTTATTTTCATTTCCAGATTTTCCCCGCCGGTCGTCGTAGTTGTCATCGCTGCAACTCAAAAGACGATGCCACCTGTGAAAGCTCTCCCGCAGCCGCTTCGGTATGTCCAATCTACAATGCTGACGAATTTTGTACCGTCAAGTTGGTCAATGGTTACATTTATCGTGGCTGCAGCTCAGAATT